TACGTAGGAACTGACTCGACGGCACTTAACAACAACAACAACAACAACATATCCTTAAAGAAAAAAAATGTGTTCAGAAGGTTGCACAGAATGGCAAGACTCCCATGTAGACGCCATGCTTATAAAGACTTGAGCCTGCAATAAACAGGCACACAGCCATAGAAATAGATCCAGCTATATCTTTACAGATCAATTTCCCCCAACAAAGCCACACAGTGTGAGACACTCACACAAACACATCTATGCCTGTAAAGACACGTAAGTCCACATCACACACATATACACATAACACAAATCAGTCACAGCAACAAAGACACACCCAAAGACATCAAACAGGTCCATAGTAATAACCATTCACTGCCACAAACACACACCTATGGACACACATGAACAGTTGAAACCCACACCAGACCTGGCCACACTCTTATATATACACAAGCCCACACTGTACACATCCATAGCCAGATTCATTAGGATATATTTTTTGTGCCCAACACCAATGCACACAGTCTGCAATCACACACACACACACTCACCATGTTGATAAAAGTAATTGCACACAATCTCACACACAAAGTTTATGCATGTCCACACCCCCTTGGGGTCTCATGTTCCACTTCCCCTCCTGGGCATCCCTGCCTCAGTCACCATTTCCGGTTATCTTTTTGTCTTCTTCCCTTTACTCTGGAATTGCTCTGGGGAGACTGTGGGTGGAGGGAGAAAGCTGCTGACTCACCCTCCCAGGGCAGTTACCCCCAACATTCCTGGAAGCCACCCTCTCACAGCCCAGCCTGGGTGACCCCTCACCCCGAGGCACCTGAATGGAGCCAAACCCTTTACATTCAGAATTGTTTTTTGCTCCTGTTATGGGTTTGATCTCTGAGTCCTGGCTGGGGCCCCAGCCAGGCAGGAGGCTAGGCGGTGCCTGGAAGGTGGACCAGCGGTATGTCCAGCATTGGCACAGACCCCAGGGAACCTTAGCTCAGAAATTACTTACAATCACAGTGGATTCAGTGTTGCAAGGGCTCATGGTCCCTTCATGACACAGGTAGGGAGACTGAGACCTGAAGAGGGAGTAGACTTGTCACAGGTCCCACTGGGTGTGGGGGCACAGTGGACCACCTCCATCCTTACCATTCCCTGGTGGGGGCAGGAAGCTAGCGGGAGGAGGGAAGTTCTGAGAAAGGGAACTCCCTTCTCCCCACCTCCCTGGACACCAAGAAGCCTGCCAAGCATTGCTCTTCATTAGTATAACTTGCTGAATCTTTTCCTGGTCGGCCTGGGGACTACAGAGCATGGGGTGGGGGTGGGGGGAACCATATCACTGGGCGGTGTAGTCCCTTGAGGAGGACCTGGTATGGCTGGAGCTGGAGCACCCATCCTGCCGGAAGCTGGAGAGGTCAGTTGGGCATGGGTGATAGGGAGATGGAACCATGGGGGAAGAGACTGTGGTCACTGGGTAGGGGATGGGAAGGAGGCAACCACCCGATAGTGCAGTCTTTAGGGTCAGGAGTCTCCTTTCTGGTCTCAGCAATGTCCCCTTAGATGGGATGCTGGCCAGCCAACGGAGTCCCTGACACAAGTGATATCCATTATACAGATGAAGGTGTTGAGGCCCACCAACTTCCTGCTCTTACCCAGGACCAGCCACACAGCAGACAGGTGGCCGAAGTGGGACAGAAACCAAGTCAAGTGCATGCTAGACCACGAGTTTGCAATCTCTACACCTTAGTTACCTTTCTTAAAAAATAAGGGGTGTTTAACAACATTCTTATCAATGGAGAAAGGATTGAAGTTGTCAAGGACTTCATTCTTCTTGGATCAAAATCAACACTCACGGAAGCAGCAGTCAAGAAATTAAACGATGTATTGCATTAGGCAAATCTGCTGCACAAGACCTTTTTAAAGCATTGAAGAGCAAAGATGTCAGCTTGAGGACTAAGGTGCGTCTGACCCAAGTCATGGTATTTTCAATAATCTCATATGCATGCGTAAACTGGATAGTGAAGATAGACAGTAGAAGAATTGATGCTTTTGAGTTATAGTGTTGGAGGAGAATATTGAAAGTGCCATGGGCTGCCAAAAGAACCAATAGATCCGTTTTGGAAGAAGTGCATCCAGAGTGCTCCTTGGAGGCCAAGATGGCCAAACTTTGTCTCTCATACTTTGGACATATTGTCAGGAGGGGCCAGTCGCTGGAGAAGGATATCATGTTGGGTAAGGTGGAGGGTCAGAGAAAAAGAGGAAGACCCCCAACGAGATGGATTGGCCAAGTGGCAGAATCGATGGACTCAAGTGTGGCAACAGTAGTGAGGTTGGCCCAGGATTGGGCAGTGTTTCGTTCTGCTGTGAATAAGGTCGCTATGAGTGGGTACCGACTCAATGACACCTAACAACAACAAGGGAGTCCTGGTATGGCACTATAGGATAAGCACCAGACTGCTAACTACAAGGTCAGTGGTTCAGAACCAACTCGATGGCACTTAACAACAACCAATAAGAGGTCCTGAAGTCCCTGTGTGGGGCAAATGGTTTGTGCTGGAATACTAACCTAAGGATTGGTGCCAAGGAAGTAAGACAGGTGATCTGCTCCCATAAATAAGGTGGTGTCATCCCTATTAGGTGCTGTTGAGTCTAGCGAGCTTACACAGGAATCAAACACTCCCAGCCTTGCCCCACCCTCCTTCCTATGTTTGAGGCCATTATTGGAGTTATTGTATTAGCCCATCTTGTTGAAGGTCTTCCTCATTTTTGCTGCCCCTCTACTTTATCACCCTGATAGTGTAGTGGATTACAATCTGGGCTACTAACCGACAGGTCAGCAGTTCAAGTCTACCAACCGGTAGCTCCTCAGGAGAAACATGAGGCTTTCTACTCTCCCTGGTGTGGCACTACAGGATAATTAATGCACAGGACTTCAGGGTGGGTTCGAATTGCAAATCTACCAGTAGCTCCTCCAAAACCCTATACAGGGTTACTATGAGTTGGAGTCTACTGGAAGGCACTTAACAACAACAACAAATATTTATAGCCTCAGAAACCCTACACTAGGTCTCTATGAAACACCCCCACCACTTACTTTATATGGTGGCGTTGTAGGATAAGCACTGGTTTGAATCACAACGGCATTTCAAACCCACTAAGTTGCTCCTTGAAAATCCTATACAGGGTTGCTATGAGTTGGAAGCAACTCGATGGCACTTAACAACAAAAACAACAACTTTATCAAGCATGATGTCCCTCTCCTTCTCCAGGAACTAGTCCCATCAGGGCCAGATGACACTCTGGGGATATTATTTAAAAAAAAAAAGTTGCCATCAAATTGATTCTAATTCATGGAGACCTCATGTGTTACAAAGTAGAACTAGACTCCAAAGATTTTCTTTTTTAAAATAGGGTCCACCCCCCCCCAACCCCACCCACCACCCCGAGGTGCCATGTGGTGCTGATAGGCTGAGAAGTCACATGGGAAGTCAGGGACTGAGGACTGAGACCTCTGTGCTAGCAACTGGGACAAGCGGCTAGGAGCTGAGTTTCCAGGGGTGGGGTGGGAGAGGTCAGCGTGTCTGCTGGCTGTGGCCAAAATAATATTTCTGGAAGTCAAGGTCACCAGAGTTTGGCCAAGGGCCTGGGAGTGCCGAGGGTAGAGGTGATGGGAGCAGGGAGGGTACCCCTTTTGATGATGGATCATGGATGTCATCAGTTCTTCAGCCTCTCTCATACCACTGGATGTAGGATCTGGACTCCCCAGCTGACTGTGCAAGCCAGGCGTCCTGGTACAGGGCTCCAGAGATTGGCTTTTTTCCCTCTGGCCTGGCCTTCTTCCTCCGCCTTCTGGAAGGAGTGAACTGTGTCCAGAGAGCAGAACTATTGGTGTGCCTGGAAAACAGTGAATGAGGGGGTTGGGGGGTGGAATTTCCTGGTCATTTCTCAATCCCCTGGCAATGTCCTAACCCCTGGGGCTCAGCCGAGAATAGACCCAGGAGGCCATCCCAGACAGCCGGGGCCAAGCCACCCCCTCAAGAACTGGCCAGCTGGGACCTGGCCTGGCCCTGCTGGTGGGCCCCAAATTCCAAGTGGAGATGACTCAGTGGTCCTCACTCACCATCCCTACCAGGGAGCAGAGACCAAAGCCAGGGGCACTGGAGAAGGAGATCTGGAAGGGGATGAGAACCCACCTGGGAGAAGAGGGCGGTGGCAGGTGGTTCAGCAGTGACAGGGACCAGCCCCAGAGAGGTGAGATGGGAGATGGATGATACTGAGAGCGAGGGGACGCAGGGTGATGCGGAACAGGCCAGGGAAGGGAGTGAGGCAGCAGAGAAGGGCGGGGCAGAGAGAGGAAATGCAAAAGCTGGGGAGGGTGAGATGAGGAGGGAGGGAGGGAGCGAAACGCTACTATCACAGAGAACTGGAGGAAAGGAGAAACAGAGACCAGAGGTGCGGTGTGGCAGGACTGGAGAGCAGAAACACTGAGGGGCAGCGGGTAGGTTACTTGGGGTCGGGGGGGAGACTGGGATAGGAGACAGAGCAGGTGGGCAGGGGAGGGAACAGAGATAGAGAGACAGGAGGAAAGAACTAGGGGACAAGGACAGAGGACAGGGAAGAGCAGTGACAAAAGAAAGAGATAGGTGTTGTTGTGAAGTGCCCGATTCCAATCCTATATAGGGTTTCCAAGGAGTGGCTAGTGGGTTTGAACTGCAAACCTTGTGGTTAGGAGTCCAGTGCTTATCCTACAGCACCACACCATATAGATACAGAGGGGCAGAAAAAAGAGAGAAAGACTGAGCAAGACTGAAACACAGAAAGACAGACAGACACGCACACTCAGGAAGAGAGCTGGGGATAGGCACGGATACACACAAGACAGCGCCCCCAACTGCCATGAGGGCCTTTGGGAGGTCGCTGGTGGTGGGTATTTGAGTGAGCTGAGGGTTTCCCTTCCCTATCCACCCACCTCCCACCTTTGGGTAGACATCCAAGCCGGCCAACGGAAGCCCAGGATGTCAGAATCCTGCCAGAATCTCACCTACGTTCGGGGCTCTGTGGGTCCAGCCACCAGCACCCTGATGTTCCTGGCAGGCGTGGTGGGCAATGGGCTGGCCCTGGGCATTTTGGGTGCTCGACGGTGGTCACACCCCTCAGCCTTTGCAGTCCTGGTCACGGGACTAGCACTTACGGACCTTTTGGGCACGTGCTTCCTGAGCCCAGCTGTGTTTGTGGCCTATGCCCGCAACAGCTCGCTGCTGGGCCTGGCCCAGGGTGGCCCCACGCTCTGCAATGCCTTTGCCTTTGCCATGACCTTTTTCGGCCTGGCCTCCACGCTCATCCTCTTCGCTATGGCAGTGGAGCGCTGTCTGGCGCTCAGCCACCCCTACCTCTACGCCCAGCTGGATGGGCCACGCTGTGCCCGCCTGGCACTGCCCACCATCTACGCCTTCTGCACTCTGTTTTGCTCACTACCCTTTTTGGGCTTGGGCCACCACGAGCAGTACTGCCCAGGGAGCTGGTGCTTCATCCGCATGCGCTCGGCGGAGCCCGGTGGCTGTGCCTTCTCATTGGCCTATGCCAGCCTCGTGGCCCTGCTGGTAGCCGCCATCGTCTACTGCAACGGCTCTGTCACTGTCAGCCTCTGCCGAATGTACCGCCAGCAGAGGCGCCAACAGGGCTCACTGGTACCTGGGCCTCGAGCAGGCGAGGAGGAGGTAAATTATCTGATCCTACTGGCCCTCATGACAGGCATCATGGCTGTGTGCTCCCTGCCACTCACGGTGAGTCCCCTCTGGAGCCTGGGAGGATGGGCTGGGAGAGGGTGGTGCCTGCCTCTAGCCTTCATCCGGTGTACTCATTTGACAGAGGGAAAAACTGAGGCTCAGAAGGGGAAACACCTCCCAACTTTGTGACGATGGTGACACGTGTCTTGGGTTGTTTCCTGTCTAACCCCTGAACTCCTCTCTTGTACCTTCTGCCTAAATCAAACTCTCTCCTCCCATAGTCTTTCTTGCTGTTGTTAATTGCTGTCCAGTTGATTTGAACTCACAGTACCTATCAGAGTAGAAGTGTTCTACAGGGCTTTTAAGGCTGTGATCTTTTGGAACCAGATTGTCAGGGCTGCCTTCCCAGGTGCCTCTAGGAGGATTCTTACTGCCAATCATTCCGACCACCTAGGGATGACTCCTATGAATAAGATCCAGCTTGCATGAAACACCTAGTCTGTGCTTATTGATGTTGGGTGCCATGGAATTGCGTCCAACTCATAGAGAATTCATAGGGAAGAATTGCTTCATAGGGTTTCCAAGGCTATAAATCTTTACTGAAGCAGGTCACATCTTTCTCCATCAGCTTACAAACACTTTCTCAGATTTTCTTCAAGATGACTTTATCCACCCATTCTACTAGCGTTTCCCAGGAAAAAGGACAGGAGTTTCTGTTCTGGCACCATCTTTGCAGCTGAGGGGTGAAGTCTTATATCCATCGTCACACAGAGCTTGGGTGGGCCCTAGGAGTCCCCTATTCCAGAGCCTGATCTCTCCCTGCCCCCACTTCCTGCTTCCTCATCTCGGTTCCATCTACTCGCTCTGTGGTTTGACTCTCCAGCCCCTCCCCTCCCATGTTAGTTACAGCGATATCACTGGTCCGGTCCAGAATGTGTTAATGCATGAACGGAGACTGGAAGGTGTGGACCTCAGACACTGGACATAGCCGTTCACAGAGGATTTCAGGGGACCTTGGCAATGGAGAGGGTGATGCATTGGGCTGTTAACCAGCAGTTGGCTGTTGGAAACCACCAGTCGCTCTAAAGGAGAAAGATAAGGCTGTGTGCTCCAGGAAAGATTTACAGTCTCAGAAAAACCCTGGTTCTACTTTGTCCTATAGAGTCAGAGTCAGAACTTCAACTCCACGGGCAGTGGGTTTGGTTTAAAGAACAGGACGTGTAAAGGTGCCCTAATGATGCAGTGGTTAAGCACTGGTCTGCTAACAGAAAGGTCTGCAGTTTGAACCTACTAGCCACTTTGTAAAAGATGAGGCAATGGGCTTCAAAATGTCTATAGCCTTGGAAACCCTATGGAGTTTCCAGTTCTACTCTATCCTGTAAGGGTCTCTATGAGTTGAAAGTGACTTCATGACTGTCACATATCCCCAAATCAGAAATCGTATACAGGTCGCAATGAGTTGGAACCGTTTTGATGACTACACCTAACAACAACAAAGTCCCCTCAGTTGTAAAGGGGCAGGAGACCCTCATACACAGAACCGACTATTTACCCCTCGCTCCAGGCCTCTGGGGCGTTCCCTTCCTCTGTGCCCGGATGCACCTGTTACTTTCTATTAATTTCATCTTATTTCCTTCCCCTTCTGACCTCTGTCCCTCTCCTGTGAGCTGATGGGAGGAATGGGTGCTTAGGTGGGGTACGTGGGGAGGGGGTAGGGTACGCTCTGTGCCTCCTGACGTCCCTGTCCTGCCCCCAGATCCGCGGCTTCACACAAGCCATCGCGCCAGACAGCAGCGAGATGGGGGATCTCCTCGCCTTTCGCTTCATCGCTTTCAACCCCATCCTGGACCCCTGGGTATTCATCCTCTTCCGCAAGGCTGTCTTTCAGCGCCTCAGGCTCTGGCTCCGCTGCCTGGGCCCCCGGGCTGCCCGTGGAGATTTGCAGACACCCCTGGCCCGGCCCACCTCCAGAAAGAAGGACTCACTGCCTCTCTCTGCCCTGAAGACGAAGGGGAGCTGGGTGCCCATGTCAGCCTGGGATGAGGGGCAGATGGCCCCCTTGCCTCCTGAACAAGGGTCTGGCAGCCCCATGGCAGCATCCAAGGCGGAACCTGCTGCTGTGGTCTGCTCTCTTTGCTGACACCTTAGTGGCTCTGCCTTAGTGACACCTGCCTTGTCCTTCCTGGAGCCACCTACACTATCATCAGCTCCTTTAGAGTGGTTTCTGATTCCTGGCGACCCTGTGTGCTGCATGCAGAGTGTTTTCAATGGTGGATTTTAAGGGCAGTCGATCTGCAGGCCTTTCCCATGCACTTCTGAGTGGAGATGAGCCTGCTGCAACCTTTTGATTAACAGCTGAGTGCATTAACCTCTTGCATGACTCAAAGACCCAGGAAACCAGGGGATAGGGGCAAATTCTGGGGGCAATCAGCTGCTATTTCTCTTCCTCCAAGACTACCATTTCTGGCTTTGGGAAAGTTTATCCCAGAGTGCAGAATGGATTATTCTCTCAAATTAACTGGGCTGTGTCTGACTGCTGGGTTGCCTCTCCATCCATCTCACTGTCTAAATATTTAGAAGGCAGCAAAGTTCCCAGTAGCTCTTTGTGTGCTCAGAACTGCTGGGGTTAGGCCTCTGGCTATGATCCAGAACTGTCCAGGATGCTCAACCCCAAATCCCAAGGGACTCTCTCCAAGCGTCTCCCAGAACTACCTTCTGTCTGTCCCAGGGGGACATGGATTCTTGCAAGAGCAGGATGCTCTTGCTTTCCACCTTCCCTTTAAACTTGGAGATTCTGGCTTAGGGATCATCAGACCTGGCACCCCAAGGGGAGGTGGGAAGTGGGGGGAGATTGCTGTATTGTGGGTGATAGTGCTGGACATATGTCTGATTCAAAAAGGACCTTGTAAAAAGTGGCCAGTGGAACACGCGTGGGGAGAGATAGGGACTGTGGAGGCCAGTAAACAAAGAGATGTGGGCTGCAGACCTCATGCATACCAAGGGACCACAAACTGGGTGACTTGAGATGACAGAAATGGATTGTCTTTACCATTCTGGTGGCTATAAATCCAAAACTAAGGTGTTGGCAGGGCCACGCTCCTTCCTGGTTTCTTCCAGCTCCTGGTGGTTCCTGGCAATCCTTGGCTTTGCAACTTCACCACTCCAAAGTCTGCCTCTGTCTTCACATGGATGTCTTCCCACTGTGTTCCCCTCTCTGTGTCTCGTCTGTTTTATAGGACACCGTTCGTATTGGATTAGGACCTACCCTACATCAGCATGACCTCCTGTTAACTGATTATATATCTAAGACCCTGTTTCCAACCAAGATCATGGATCATTAAGGATTAGGACTTCAACATATACCTTTAGAGGGGACTCTATGCAACTCCTAAGACCTAAGTCCTGTGCCTGTCCCTAGAGTCCTCCTTGGAGACACCTCATGTGCCCTTGGTGCGCTCACAAAATGTCCATTCATTCCTTCACTCACTGACTGCTAACACTATGAAGTGTTGGGGACAAGATTCTTGCATTGCTATGACACTCACTGGGGTGACTGCCTATCTCCTCTCCACTTCTGAGATTGCTGCTCCCTGCTCTCAGAGAGACCTGGGAATCCAGGGGGCCTAGGAGGGAGGGGATGAGAGGATTGCAAGAAAGCGAGGTGGCCCTTCGGGAGCCATTAGTGGGAATAGGAAAGGGGCCCCACACGTTTCATGGGTTGAAACAGTACATCTGCAGCTGTGTGCACCTCCTAGGAAGATGAGAGCAGCTGAGGCTTGGGGAGCAGCAGGCCAGAGGCACGCTTTCTCTTTATTCTCACAACAGCCTAGCTGACCCTGCTATTCTTAGTTCAGAGAAGGCAGCCACCTGACCCAAGTCACACAGCCAGCAAGGAGGAAGCCAAGTTCTATCTTCCCATCTTCATCTACCTGCCTTCTCTATTCCTTGATTTCCTCTTTCCTAGAATAGTGATCCTAATCTAGTGCATAATAGTTCACAGGGTAGTTCTAAAGGTTGAGTCCCCCTGACGAGCAATTTAGCACAGGGGAAATCCCACAATAAATGTTACTATTATGGCCCTGCCCTTGTTGTTCCTTTTGTTACTTGGGCAGATGTGGGTTGAAGACAAGGCAATGCTTTGTTTGCTTCATTGTTTTTGACTTCGTTTTTTTGTGTTTTTTTTTTCTGTTAGCATGTTACGTTTCAGGTCCCATTAAAGAGAATAAAGATGTCTTTGAGGGCTAAACACAGGCTAACAGGACTGATTTGGGGGCTCAGGTTTCTTTTTGGGGTGATGAGAATGTTCTGCAACTAGATAGTTTCTTGTTTTTTAAAGTTTTTATTGTGCACTAAGTGATCATTCACATGGGAGAACTTCGGTTTTACACTCATTTCATTGCAATGATTATGATCACTGTGCATCATCATTCAACAGTATTTTTGCTTCTATTCCCTCTGGGTTTTTTTGTGATTTTTTTTTTCAGAGATGTACACAAAAACATTCAGGAATATATAGTCATTTGAACAAGCAAAGGGCACATTCTGTGAGCCTGCCTCCTGGCTGCCAACACACAGCCTTTCTCTTTCCATGAGTCTAGAGTCCTCAGCTGTTCTATCGCTCCATGTCCTCATCTCTGCCTTCATCTCTGGTGTTGCTGCTTTTCTAAATTGTTGTTGTTGTTAAGTGCCGTCGAGTCGGTTCCGACCCATAGCGACCCTGTACAGGGTTTCCGAGGGTGTAAATCCTTACAGGAGTAGAAAGCCTCATCTTTCTCCCACGGAGCAGCTGGCAGTTTCGAACCGCTGACCTTAAGGTTCGCAGCCTGATTCATAACCACTACGCTACCAGAGCTCCTTAGAGTCCTACATTCTGCTCGTGCTCTTCTCCATTGATGGTCCTAGGGTCCTCTTTTCCTGGACTGTAAGATTAAGTACTCCCCCTTTTTTGTGGAACTAGATAGTTTTGAGGGTTGCATAACATCGTGAGTTTGCTGAAGGCCTCTGAGTTGTACAATTTAAAATAGTTATAATGGTCCATTTGATGTTGTTGATATTTTACCACAATTTGAAAAAAAAAGCTTGCAATACTAAAAATAATTGAGGGTGTGTTTTTAGAACATCCTATAACATTACTGTCAGAGAGAATCTGAAAACAAAACAAAAAAAAAGTCAACTTGTGAAAACAAAAGCAAAGACCAATCAAGAAATATCAGGTTGCAAAAGGACAAGTATTGTCTGATCCCACTGATATGAAAGATTTATTGTTTCCAACTCAGAGGTGGCCCTATAGGGCAGAGCAGAACTTCCCCTTAGGGTTCCCAGGGTTGTCATCTTTGCAGAAGGAGCTCTGGTGTGGATCAGCCACTAACCGAAAGGTGGAGGTTGGATCCTATAGGGTCTCCCTGAGTTGGAATTGACCCAATGGGACACACAACCACCATTTTTACGACAGCCAATTGCCATAACTTTCTCTTGTGGAGCGACTGCTGGGTTTGAACCACCAACCTTTTGCTTGGCAGCTAAATGCTTAACCACTGCAGCACCCCTTTTTGAGAGGTCGCAGCCACTAAGAACCCTGTGGAGCAGTTCTTCTGTAACATACATGAGACCACCATGAGTTGGAATGGATTTAAGGGCAGCTGGTTTTAGGGTTTCTCCTAGCTGGTGTCCAGACAATGCAAATCCATCCTCCTTACTCCTCCTGCCTCCCACCTCCTGCCACAGTCCTGTCACTACGGTGCTGCTTGGTGCATGAGGGCCACTCCCTTTCACCAAGCGTTCCAGACCTTTACAATGTGGACGGCTGTGCAGTGCCTCCACCAGCGGAGGTGACACCATGCTTCCTGGAACAACTGCCTCCCTTTCTCCCTCCGTCAGAAGCCCCTTTGCCCTCTGAGGCCTCATCTCTGGTAGTGTAGTGGTTACGAATTGGGATGCGAACCGCAAGGTCAGCAGTTCAAAACTACCATCTGCTCTGCAGGAGAAAGATGAGGCTTTCTGCTCCCATAAAGATTTACAGCTTGGGAAACCCTGTTAAGGGTTGCTATGGGTCGGAACTGACTCGATGGCACTTAACAACAACATCTTTGAAGGTGTTCAGTTCTTCCACGACGATGTGTTCTTGGCACGTTTGTGGCTCTCCAATGGCACTTGCAGTCTTGACATAGTGCATTCATTCATTCAGCTAACTGGAGGCTTCCTGAATGTCAGGTCTTGTCACTGTGATGCTGGGGATGTGGCGGTAACAGAGGCAGCCTTTCCCTGCCCTCCTAGTCATGGTCCACTGGGAAAGACAGATAGTTGGGTCTTCAGAAGGTGAAAACCCACAGGGAGTAGGGCTGGGGCAGGGGAGTATGGGGGCGGGGGGCATCAGGAAAGGTTTCCTGGAGGCGAGGACAGTTGAGCTGGGACTTGAAGTTCGGAAGAAAGTGAGCCAAGATAAGACCTGCCTCTCTCACATTTCAGTTTCTGGTGGTTGCTGTTAGCTACTACTGAGCCAGCTTTCAACTCACAGTGACCCCGTGTACAACGGATCAAAATGATGCCCTATCCTGTGTCATCCCCCTGACATGTTGCTGACAAGACGGTTACAATCTGTAGGGTTTTTGTTGGTTGCTTTTTGGAAGTAGATTCCTAGTTCATTTTAGTCTGGAAGCTCTGCTGAAGCCTTTCAACATCATAGTAACACACAAGCCTCCACAGATGGGCGAGTGGTGTGGCCAAAAACCGAACCCGGTTCTCTCACATGGAAGGCAAGAATTCTACCGCTGAGTTACCACTGACCCCCAGGGGTCTACTTCTTTCCTTTTCTTTAGTAACCCTGTGGGGGCAGCAATGTAATCATTACATAAATAGATAGGGCCCTGAGCAGCTAAAATACATGGTTATGTTATTGATATGTATCAACGGTGGTTCAAACTCATCAGCCTCTCTCAGAATTCATATACAGGGAGGGTCGTTGGGAGCCAGAATTGACTAGACAGCACAATAATAACAAGGTACCAAAAGAAGCAGAGTATGAGGGTCTATGAGAACACTTAGGAGGTGTCTGCCCTATTAAACTGTGTGAGCTCAGAAAATGTGGCATCTATCTTCCTCCAGGGCAGCTACCAGACCTTATTCCTTTCTGTTACCCCTGGG